AAATGCATTAATTAGTAACAGTAAGTACACTATCGCACTAATAATGTATATATCAATATTCAATAATTAATCGATATATTTTAATTAACTTTGTAGTTTTTATATTATTGACTTAAGGGATTAACACAATTTTAATACGAAATCCATAACCGTAAAAATTCTAATACTTTAAAACATTTGTTGGCTACGAGGAGTCTCGCAACGTATGGAAGGAGTAGTGAGTGGTAGCTCCATTCTCGCGATTTAACTGCATCGATATCTCGCTAAAAATATCCCGTTCGAAACCGCGCCCGTATAACTCTGCTGCGATAAATTCGTTACCCTCTAACAGATAAGATACATTTTTATTCTACTTTCGGCCGTGCGCGTAGATAAAATGTTTCCGAAGCGCATGATATCTTTTATATATACCGGCTGCATTTAGACGCTCGATTTAACTGAAATACGAGCACGCGTAATAAAGAATAACTCGCAAACTCTTGTATCCAGAAATGCGAGTACTATACTGCATCATCGTCCGTGATAAAAGTAAGAGAGTGAATTCTCTCTTCCGCGATTAACGCGGATAATTAGGATCTATACCTCGGGAACGAGTCTGTCAACTCCATCCATTTATTAAATAAAGAGTTCGGAGCAACAATACTTGCCATACGCATGAAATATTGCGCCATTTCTATCAGAGATCGGAACTGGATTCCTTTACCGTAGCAGTTATGTTATCCGAATCGAATGTGGTAGTCGAGGGTTAAGGCTCGCCGCGTGCTTCGAATTTCGGCGAGCAGCCGTGTGCACAGAGAGAGAGAGAGAGAGAGAGAGAGAAGAGAGTATCTCTCTTGATCCTCCGAAATAAAATCACTGCGCGTTATCGCCGTTAACGATCCGGATAGAATATCGAGGATCGCGTAACCACGCAGTAGATATATAGGTAGGTACCTCCGCACGGTCGCAATTTGCAGTAACTGTTTCTCGGAACGGAACAATTTTTTTTTACAAACGCACATTTATTAGCGCGACCGTGCGCGTCGATATGGAGCGCGTGGAAAATACATAGTAACGTTCGCAGATAATACCATGCTGCCTTACAACTCTCTGCCAACGAGCGACTACAATGAGAATAAATAGGGCAGCAGTGGCTGCGGATAACTCATGAGAGAAATAAAAATAGGCCCGAGCGATCGCTGTTTCCACGCGTCGTAAACTTACGAACGAGGAGAAATAAACTCCGAAAATGACACTGTTCGATCTTTCACGAGCTCGGCATGTATTCTCTGTCAGTCTTAAACTCGGGACGTATTTTACGAAAACTTTCGAAAATGTTAAGAAATCCAAAATTGCATATTATATGTATTCGCTGCCAGTCTTAAAATCGGAACGTACTTTATGGAAACTTTTGGAAATGAACTTTGAAAAATTCAAAATTGCGTATTGCAAAGTTGATCTTCGAAAAAATATTCGTGTTAAATTGTTACTAAGTTTTTAACTCTGGAAAAAGTCTTATTTTATTAATTGAAATTCTGATAGATCCAACCAGATAGGTACAAATTAAACACTTGTAGTTAAATTCATGAAATTCTATATAATTTATATGATTAAAATTCGTTTTTTGTTTGTACTTCTTGTTGATACAATCGAAACATTTTTCTTAGTGAATTCTTTTGAAATAAATTTAAATCCAAATTTTATCTGTGAGTAGTTTGATAACATTTTTTGCCAGTCATTTGTTATATCTAAGCCAATTTACTCGTTAAACATATTGCAATCGCTTTGCACGTTTCAAATGTTAATTAATCCCAGACAAAATTATTTTCGATACGGTACATGCGTCCAAACACATCGTGATGACTTATACACGCCCGTGGGCTGATATAAATTGCCTCCTCCGCCCACTCAAGTGCCGTCTTTAATCGCGGCGACCAGATCGATCATTCGGCGCGACTACTCGCGATCTCGCGCGATAATTAATATCCGGGCGTCGCGATTTACGCGACGGGTAGATAACAATCATAGCAGAGGAGGAGGAGGAGGCGGAAGAGGAGAGAAGGAAGCTGACCCAGGCTCCCCCGGCGCAGTTATGGAGGGTACACTGTCCGCGAGTCTCGCACGCGTGCCTTTATTAAATATTGCGTTTAAATGACTCTGTAACGGTCGACGAGACGCATAGTCTGCGCTAACGAGCGCCACGACAGCGCTCTAACGAGGCGCTCGTCGCCCACGCGGTTTTCAGGGTTTCAGACCACGTCAATAGCGGCATTGCCGGAATGACTCCCACGGTGTAACGTCAACGTAGCACCACTTTTCCACGAAACACACGCAATACCGTTGTGACAAAACTGTAAATTGAATATCGATCGTGTTCCGTGTCGGTCCCGTAACTTATACGACCGGCACGTCTGTGCCGTGTCGCCGATCGTTAAGCTTATCCGCCTCCCAGTTCGGAAATGAGTTCCGGCGACTGAATAACGCGAGGACAGAACCGTCGATGGGATAGTTTGGTGTCAATCGTACCATTGAAAGTAAAGTAAGATAATAAAGACAGTACATTGACACACAGTTGGAAAAAATGTGTTAAATTTAATATAAATCGCATGTCCCAAACGATCCACTCAAATTTTTGAGTTAATTTTACACACAGATGAATATGTTAGAAGGTAACACAAATATTATGTAAGAGAATAAATACAAAGAAAGATAACACAATCGACACAATTTGTAATAAACCGTGAAAGCATATTTTGTTGTTAGAAAATTAACATTTATGATATGTTTAATTAATGGATTTTATTCATTTGTCTTAGAATTTACGTGTTTTATGTGTTTTTTTAAAACACATTATTTTTATGTTGTACTTGTTTACTCATAAATTGTGTCATTTCGACATTAAAAAACATTGAATATCAATTTCACAAAAAATCTTTAAATCACATAATCACATTATGTTAAATTAACACTCAAATAATTCAACACAAACTGTTAACACAAACGTGAGTGGACCGTTTCCAACACAAATACACAAATTTTTTTACTGTATAAGGAAATTGTTGGAACTGTTCTTCACCAATTTTGATGAGCTGTAGAGATACTGAAAAAAAATCTAGTAATAGCTATCAAATGTTAAGTAAAATAATCAAATATTCGATTAATTTAACCAAAAATAATTTTAATTTTCTAAATATTTAGCAATTGTTATCAAACAGTTGTATTATTATGTTTGTGGTAATACTTTACTAAATATTTAAAACAATAAAATTATTTTTATATTGACCGAACACTTGATTGAAATTGTTTCACTTGATATTTAGTAGTTATTATCAAATTCTTTTCCAATTTATATTGTAGAACAAAACTTTACTAAAAAAATATTAGACCTATATCTTTTTTATCTGCTTTTCTCAAGGTTTAGAAGTCGAAATTATCGTAAATTAAAAAAATTTAGCATTTTTTTGAGACACAGTTATTAGAAATATAAAATATTACAAAATGTTTCTTCTCATAGTTCCCCCTCATAATTTTGAAGATCTCTGAAAATGGAATTATATCAATCAAAATTCTAATAATCAAATTTGTGGTAATTTCAACTAAAATATTTAATAAATTTAACTGTAAGTATCCTATTTGTACATTTGTGATGAACCAATCAGAATTCTAATTAATGCAATCAGATTTTTTTCCTGTGTATATTGTAATACCTAGAACGATGATACCTACAACATTTTAATTTATCTATATTATATTCAAATATCTTGTCAATATTCCTTTAATTTCTATACACCACTCGCAATAAACAGGCGTTTAAAAAAACGAGAAATGTTTATGTATATTTATCATTCTTCTTATGATATTGATGTCGCGGCGAAAAAAAACCAATTGCAATTATAAAAGCAAAAAAGTACTAGGATCGTGGTCGCTCGATGTCAACAAAGCGAACGTCACTGGCATTATAGTTTATAACGTAAAAGACAAAATCACAGCTTGCAAGTAGGAGAATATCGTTTCGTGCTAAGCGCGTATTTCAGTTGCCGGTGTCACCTGTCAGCACGCTATCGCGACAAAGTACTAGGTTTGTATCGTTCGCGATGAAAATTACTTCGCTCCGTGACCGGTGATCAAACGCGATCGGATTGAATGTATACAAATGACAATCGACCTCGTCTGAAGGCTAAAACTTACCGTCGCCGTTCACACGCGTGATACAAATATATGTGTAATTTTATACAAAATTACTGCTCATTATGCGTTATTACCAACTCGAGAGAACAAGTTAACCGGCGTTGTTTTTGTCGGACAGCAAAACTTCGCCCCACATAAGTCATCGTTACGCGATCGCAAGATGTGCAAAAAAATCGAATTGATTTAATCACTTATTTTGAATAACGTGACACTGACGGTACGGGGATAGAATTGCGTTACAATTTTACGCACTCGTGCAGTTTGTAATGGCATAAAGTTGCGGTCAAATAAATTAATAACAATTATAGTCGAGAATAATCGACGCCACTAACGATATTGTGCATTAATTAAAATCGCCAACGAGCGAATGAGTATCGCTTACCGTGCATATTATCGGCATTTAACTATTATTGAGTGATTTAATAATCGATCAGATTTTAAAATAATTATTAGTAATTAGTACTGATCAAATATTGAGACACCGTTGTTATAAATATAATTTTTTAAAGAAGGACAAAATATCTCTTTTTCGACATCTACATTTATATCATATTTTTCTTCCCTTCAAGATTTTTAAATTTTTATATAGCCATTATCATTTTTATTTACTTTTTAGCTATTTATTGCTATTAACTTATAGCTTTTCAGATTCTATCAAAGTAATTAAATACAATTTTAGCCATAAACATAGATCATATTTTTGACTTGCCACAAGTTTCCAATATTTTGGATTCGGTCACTTGTAAGATTTCTATACTGACAAGACACAGTCGCATAATTATTCCAGTCTAGTTAGCAGAATCAAATCGCAAATAATCAAACGTGTCACTCACTGTGCATATCGTTGGCGTCTGTCCATGGACTTTGTTGCTGTTGGAAGGAGGCTCCAGTCCTTTCGGAACGTCTAGATGCATCCTAGATGGCAGAGGCGACGAAGTAGGAACGTTACTCGAATTTGGAACGTGACTCGGTAGCGGCGTGCCAAGTGGAAGATCTGGGCGGAAAAACCACGTGGGCCACTGTAACGAAAAGCAAAGTCGACATTATTCAAAACACTCGCTTTTCCTGTATATTTCGTCAGTTTATTGATAACAAGTTGTGCATGTCGTCCCATAAATATGTCAATTGTTTTTCTGCCTGATTACAGATTCTTGGCTGAATTTACTAAATATATTTTATAAATCAGGAAGAAATAATTTTGAATAGACATTTTATCTCTTATGATTTACAACTTTATGGTATCTTGATTAGACAGGATTAATACATAATAAAATCAAATCTATTAATTAAAAATATATATAAATTAATTATTAAGAATAGATCACTTTTACATATATTCTTTTTATAATACATATTTATACACATAATTCTTAAATGCATCTTATATTATTCAAAATGAGTTTCTAAAAGAGATAACCATCAACATAAATTTCTTTTCGCGTGGTACTTAAAGATTAATATATAGCTAGTATTTCTCTTTCCTTTTGTCGCTTATCGCTTCCGACATACAGCAACTGTATTCTTGACGGAAGGAATAACGATGTGACGAAACGGCATAGTGATCTTATCGGAATCGTCTCGTTGGTGATAAAATCAGCTAACTGTACAAATCGAAACAAAAACCACCTATATCTATCAAAAATTCGTTACGCTAATAAATATTTTCTTAAAATTACATATTCGCAGTAATAAAGAACAAGCTATAAACATTGAACTTTGTAGTCAATACTTAAAGTCCCCGATCATATTGTTTTAAAGTAAAATCTATATTAACATTGTTGTCATTGCTACGAATTCGTTAATTATTTTGTTTAAATTACATGTCTACTATTAACTTGTTTCTCAATAAACGTGGTATTCTTAACTCCTTTGCTTGACATTTAATTCGTAATACCTAATTATTTATATTATATGTTAGTTTATATGCATCAACTTAAAAAGTAAATATGTAAACTCCGTAGATTACATCAAGATATTAAACCTTATTTACCTTTTTAGATAGCAATCTAAAATTAATCTGAAATATACGTTAGCTAATAATTAATAATATGTTTCATGTAGACAAAATTATTTATTTTTTACATAACAGACATATATAGTGATAAACATTATGATTCGGAAATGTTCAAAGTAACGATTAGCAAAAAGGATCTATTTATATATTTAAAAAATTACTCTTCACTGTCATTTTAAGTTCAAAAACTACTTCGTGACTAAAATAATCTCTTCCTAAAAATTTACAGTTATAACAAATGAAAGATAATCGCGACTCCTATAAACATTTAAACTGAGAGTTGAGCACAATAGAGGGGGTTAATAAACGAGCCCATCCATTTCATCGCTCATTACATCGTGATGCGCACGGAACCTAAAGGCCTCTCTGCTGTTTCGGTGGATAAAGGTCCCACTGTGAGCGGTGCATTGGAGTGTCGCCGCGGCTGAATATGAGTGCAGCTCCCTAAGATAGATGACATAAGCCCCTGACCCTGTAAGAAGCGCACTCGCCGAGCGCGAGGTCGTCGCGCGTGTGGTCCATTGAAAGTGTTTCTTGTAGAAGAACCGGCCCGCTAAGAGAGAAGATGCTCGGGAAGAGAAAAGGAGCCTCTCTCGTTGCGTGCTCGCGCTGCGCGTTCCGTTCACCGCGGTAAGGACTTTTTGATCGTCCTCGACGGAGCCACGATGAGGCTGCGACACGAATTCCATCCGATTAATCGCGGCCGCGTGCGCGATTCGATCCGCCCCATAAGCTCCATAAAAACAACTCTGCTACCAGACTTAGAGTTCGAGTTGACTTAGATTCCTAGCGCCGTTCTGTCGTGTATTTTCGATTTTTTTTTCTCATGTTTCTTTGTCAGGACTATCACGAAAATAAGTCATCTGTAAAATATAAGACACTATTTCACCAAAAAAAAAAAAAAAAAAAAAAAAATTTGCTCCAATCTTTCAGTGCATCGAGATTGAATTATTATTATCCACCGATAGCGCGTGCCAATGCAGTCTTTTCTGCTTCAAATTCCCGTTTATATACCGTGGAAAATCTTACATCACGCCGTTGCTGTAATACTCCGTGCGTTTTAGTTATTTTCGTGCCCGAAGGCTTAGCATCAGCACCATCAGGCACTATTGGTCACGACGCAGTGTTGTAGAAAGTCAGTAACCGGTGGAAGGGACACAAGAGAGGGAGGAGAAAAACGATTTCAGGGTGGTCTGGCAAATGTCTCTTGTCGTTGGCTCGCGGGAGTTAACGCCAAAACCGAAATAACAAACTCCTAAAGCCCGTGAGTTAACGCGCTACTTCGCGCCGTTTTGACGCTAGTGATATTTTCTGTTTACTGTAACGATAGTTCGCACGCCGCGGAAATAGTTCAACATCGATGGACTCGACATTTTAACTCACTTCGAACTGGAGCATTCAAACTTCAAACTTAAAAAATAAATTATAATTCGACATTTGTGACAGCAGCTACTATCTCTTCGCCTCGATATTTTTTAATCATGTATTATCATTATTATATATTTAAATAATTAGCAATATATAGGTATTAATTGTTTTTTCGAGATACTTTTGTTAAAAGTTAACAAAATTTAATTTAGCTATCTCTTAAATACATTTAATATAAATAAATTTGATATAAAAAATTAACATTTTACAAATACTTGAACCAAGATTTTTCTCTAGAAAATGAAGATAAACTGCAAATTTTTCGTAGAAGCTGCGATTGGTAGTAGCTCTAGACATTAGAGAGATTCTATCTCAGCGTACGATGCGAAGTATTATCGCCATTTTTTCCGCTCTAGTATGAGAGCAACAACGGTATTCGCGCGAGGAAGCCGCGTGTAATATCGGGCGGACTATTTTTATACGAGGGATGTTCTCTCGAAAAACGCGGCGTGGTATTCTCCAAATTCCACGCTGGCGAATCATCGTTCTGACCGGCCATGCGCTATAATATACATCCGCTCGAATATTCCATTTTCAGACGAGAATATCGGATAAAACAATTTCGTCGTCACGGAAGTTCACCATCGATGGTCGAAATAAATAAATAAGATTACATTTTTTTTCTAAGAGATACTTTAAATTTTACAACAATAAAATATTAATAAACAATGAGAGCAATGAGAGCTTCTTGAACGTTTCGGTCTCTTTCAAACCATTATCACATATCTGACTTCCATATGGATAGCATCTGTAACAATATCTTTATATTTAATGTAAAATTAAAATTTTTACTTATTGTAATATGATGTGTGGCGCTTTGAATTGTGATCTATGGAGGCGAAAGTTAGAGTCACTTAAACAGAAGAGACATTTCTCATACTTTGTCTAACATAGAAATTATTTCCATCTGCGGACTATGAATATTGCTAAGACATTGTATAGTAAATTATATACGGCATTGCTAATGATAGTTTCAAGGAAACCGAAACATTCAAGAAGCTTGTATAGATACTTAATTAATAAAATTATTGAGAATATATTATATGTATTGCGCTCCAAATATCGCGATGTATTAATGCTCTCATTGCCCGTTTATTAATATTTTATTGTTGTTTGATTTTCGAGAGCTCTATTAAATATATTTCATATATCATAAATTTTACGTAATTTAAAATACAATGGAAAATCATGCTTTTTACACAGCTAAAAGTAGTCTAGTTGAAAATTAATATATTATATATTTTTGTTCTATTTTAGCTTGAGAATGTTTTTAATGTAGGATAATGTGACGGTATTACATATTCTGTAAAAAGTACTTCGAACAGTTAAGACTATCAATGAAAACATTTATAAGGTACATATACGATCAAGGATTGCGTTTAATTGCGCAGAATCCTGAAGACGTTTTGTATGGCGAACAAAAAAGTACCCGCAGGCACGAAATGTCACACGTTTGATTCGATAACAAGAAGCGTGACTCGTGTCGACTCTCTTTCTCTAATCGTTAGGAATTCCTCGTAAATCAAGGAAGGAACGCGCGTTTTGCAAGAAATTGCGATTCCTTGGGCGCATTTTGTTCATAAACAATTGATTTTTAGAAAAAATATTTAGCAGCAAAATGAAATTGTGTTAATTCAAGCTATGTGTTAGCAAAAGCATTCATAAATTATTTTAGACGGCAACCGCAAAAAGTTTTCAAGTCACTTCGAACGTCATTTACATTGCGCAGAATTGAATTAGAAATTATCATGGAAAGAATGATTTTGTTGAAATATCTAAAGATTTTACTAGATACAGTTCTGAAAATAATTCTATTGAACCATCAAAATAATTACGCTGAAACATCATGAATAATAGATAAAAAAGTTTCAATAATCAATTTGAGTGCCCCGCATAATTATTTCGATAATGTAAGAAAAGTATCTTCAGATCTCTAAGTAAACTTTACGATATAAAATCATCATTTTCGTGTGACACAAAAATTCGAACATAGGGTCAAGCGCATTGAAAATTAAGTCTTGCGCGGCAATTTATCAGAATTTCACGCGAGCCACACGCCGCGAGAGGATCGCTTTGCGATTTTCCACGGTTACATGGAAAGTGACATTATTCGTATTGCGTCGAGTGGTGGTGGTACGAAATTTCCAGACCCCAGAGGTTGCGTCTCGCGTAATGACGAAGTGAGGATGGCCCGACGAGAGGAATACGAGCCGAGCAGCGCTTCATTAACGAGCGGCCTGGAAGAAAGCCGACCGACTGCGTGTATCTATGCGTTTAACGCGTGTAATATACAGGCATATTGCGCATATATTACGTTACACGTGGCGTAATATACGGATACACGCGCACGACCTCCCCCCGATGGACAATAACGACGACGACGGTCGTGCAGGTAATTGCCGCCATTAGGACGTTGTACCGCAAATGACTAAATAACGAATTTATGTTTTCCTGAAATACTCGTAGAGGCTCTCCAATAGACCAAGAACGTGAATGCTAATGGAACGTCCACGCTTAAATTATGAGAATTAACAATCCCCGGAGCAGCGATTCTAATCGCTTGTTTATTTCGTTAGG